TCCTTTTCTCCTTCTTCTTCACCTTCTTCTCCTCCTCGTTCTCCTCCTTCTTCTTCTCCTCCTTCTCCTTCTTCTCCTCCTCCTTCTCCTCCTTCTCCTCCTTCTTCTCCTTCTTCTTCTTCTTCTCCTCCTCGGATTTGGGTGGTTTTGTGTAATTGGATTAAAAGTCCACATTGCAGGCCATGGGTGGTTGCTTATTGGTTTAAAAGTAAAAATAATTCAGGTGTCATTTCTTAATTGGGCAGTTTATCCTTTAAAGCCCTTGCAGAGAGAGAGAGAGAGATAGATCTCCATTTTTCATTTGTTCAAGTGCTGTAGAACTCAGGGTTTGTCAGACTATAACAGAGCTAAAAATTAATTCATTATCCCAGTCCAAACAAGAAATTCCACCTCCCACATTGAATCCCAAGCCTGGCAAAGAGGAGCAAAGACCCCCACAGGGAATCCTGAGGGGGAGGGAACACAGGGACCCCTCTGGGGAAGGGGATGCCCCCACTTTGTCCCCAGCATCCCTCTGCCCTTCCCCAGGAGATCCCCAAGACTCCGGACCACGCTCCCTCCCGCACCTTCTACCTGTACACGGTGAACCTGATGGCTGCTGCTCGGATGCTGCTCCACAGATGCTACAAGGTGAATGAATCCCCAGGACCTGCTGGGCCCCAGGGACCACAGACCCTGGTCTGCCCACGCAGGAATTGCCAGGGAATCCAGGCCCTGATCCAGGGAACTGCTGCAGCCCCCATGTCCAGGGGTCACAGCCCCCTCCTCCCTTGTGGTGCCACAGGGGTGGCAGCAGCTCCATCCTCCCTTTGTCCCCTGTTGGGTTTTTGGGAGTGGAGGGCCCCCTTGGTAAATAATTGTTTTATATTATCTATATTATATATTAGTTTATATTATATACGTTATATATTACATATTACATATTATATAATATATATAAAATATTATATATATAATATATACATTATTATCGATATACTATATTATATATAGTATATATTATATATTATATACTACATTATATAATATGTAGTATATAATATATAAAATATATACTGTATATCATATACTATACATCATATACTATATATTACATATTATATATATTATATATATTATACATTATATATATTATATATAGTATTATATTATAGATGTTCTTTGTTTTCCTAAATAATATTTAATAGAAAAATATATTATTTATAATGTATTAATATCTATTATTAGCACACCTGGACTCGGGGCTCACCTGGTTCCTGGAGCTCCTTCCTTATTCCAGGGTCCAGGTGTCACAGCCCCCTCCTTCCTGGTGCCACAGGGGTGGCACTGACTGTCCCCCTGTCCCCTGTTGGGTTTGTAGGGTCCCGTGGTGTCCCCCAGTGCACCTGGACTCGGGGCTCACCTGGTTCCTGTCCCTCTCTGAGCTCCAGGGTCCAGGTGTCACAGCCCCCTCCTTCCTGGTGCCACAGGGTGGCACTGACTGTCCCCGTGTCCCCCCATGGGGTTCCCCAGTGCTCCCCATCACACCCACGCTGGTTTCTCACCTGTTCCTTCCCCAGAGCGTGGCCAACCTGATGGAGCGCAGGCAGCACGAGATGCGGGAGAACAAGTGAGCTCCGCGGCGGGGGCGGCCGGGCAGGGCGGGCGCGCGGCCGCCGCTGCCACCTCCACGTGTCCCTGTCCCCTCCTAGGAGGCTCCTGGAGAAGTCCCAGCGCGTGGAGGCCATCCTGGCCTCCATGCAGGCCACGGGGGCCGAGGCAGCGCAGCTGCACGAGGTGGAGGAGATGATCACAGGGCCCGAGAGGCAGCAGCTGGAGAACCTGAAGCGCAACGTCAACAAGTGAGGGGGTGACTGTGGTCACTGGCTCTGAGCAGGAGGGAAGGGATGAGGGTTGGACTCTGTGGGTCAGGAGGCTTGATTTATTATTTTGTTATAGTTATTTTATATGTATATATATTATTTTATTAAATAATAGATGTTATTATTTATATAATATATCAATATATTTTATATATAAACAAATATGTAAGTATAATAATATTATAATGAAGTATAGTAATAGTCTATGATAATAATAAAAATATTATATTTATTTAATAAATATATAATATATAATATATTATTCTAATATTAATGTAATATAATATAATATAATATTTATATATTATAAAATCTATTTATTTAATAACTATATAATATATGATATTATGATTAATAGATAGGCAAAACTATTAATATATAAATATATATAAAGATATAATATATAATATATAATAAGATATAATAATAAATATAAATATATATTTATATATTAGATATAAATGTATATTTATATCTATTACTTAATGTAATATATACTATATACTATATATTATATACTATATATTATATATTATATATTATATATTATATATTATATATTATATATTATATTAAAACTATACTGAAAGAATAGAAGAAAGGATTTCATCAGAAGCCTGGCTAAGAATAGAAAAAAAAGAAATGAAAAACCAAAGGCTTATAAATATTTATATATCAGACAGAGAGTCCGAGCCAGCTGGGCTGTGATTGGCCATTAATCAGAAACAACCACATGAGCCCAATCCCAGCCCCACCTGTTGCATCCCACAGCAGCAGATAACCAATGCTTACATTTTGTTCCTGAGACTTCTTGGCTTCTCAGGAGCAAAAATCCTAAGGAAAGGAAGATAAAAGATGAAAGATGAAAGATAAAAGATAAAAGATAAAAAAAGATAAAAGATAAAAGATAAGAGATGTGTGTGGCAGGGGGCATGGGAATGGGTGGGGATGGGATTGGGGCCCTGCCCATCGCTGTCTGTCCCCCAGGATCGACGCCAGTGAGAACCAGGTGGACGAGACCATCTTCGTGCTGGAGTCGTTCATCGAGAGCACCACGAGGAGGCCCTGAGGGGGCAGGACAAGGACAGGGACAGGGACAGGGACAGGAGCACTGAGGCTGTGAGTGGGGACAGGGAGCAGAGGCCTCTGCCCACAGTGCTTGTGCTGCTGAGGAGAATAAAGGAACATTGATTTGCCAACGCACCCGTGGGTCAGGCTCCTGGGGGCGGATTGCAGGAGCCACCTGGCACTGCCAAACCAGCCCTGCAGCTGCTGGCAGGGGTTTGGGGTGCCCCAAAATTAGGGTCACTGCCTGTTGGGAGGGTTCAGGGGCTGCCCCAAAATTTGGGTTGCTGTGTTGTGCTGCTGGAAGGGTTTTTTGGGGTTGTCCCACCATTAGGGTCACTGCCTTGTGCTGCTGTTGGGGAAAGCTGGTGTCCCTGGGGTGATGTTTAGGGTGAGCTTAGGGTTGGGGTGAGGGCTGCTGCACCTGGGTCTGACCCTAAGGGGACACACAGGACATGGGGACACACAGGACATGGGGACAGACAGGACATGGGGACAGACAGGGACACACAGGGCATGGGGACAGACAGGACATGGGGACAGACAGGGACACACAGGACACGGGGACAGACAGGGACACACAGGGCATGGGGACAGACAGGACATGGGGACAGACAGGGACAGGCAGGACATGGGGACAGGCAGGACATGGAGACAGACCAGGACACACAGGACACAGGGACAGACAGGACATGGGGACACACAGGACATGGGGACAGACAGGGACACACGGGACATGGGAACGGACAGGGACACACAGGACACGGGGACAGACAGGACATGGGGACAGACAGGGACACACAGGACACGGGGACACACAGGACATGGGGACAGACAGGGACACACAGGACACGGGGACAGACAGGACACGGGGACAGACAGGGACACACAGGACACGGGGACACACAGGACATGGGGACACACAGGACATGGGGACAGACAGGGACACACAGGACACGGGGACACACAGGACATGGACACAGAGGATTCAGGACCCATGGGGACACACACAAAAGGACATGGGGGACGTACAGAGGATGCATGGGGACAGACAGACACAGGGACAGACAGGCATGGGGACAGAGGAACAGACAGGGACACACAGGACACAGGGACAGACAGACACAGGGACAGACAGGCATGGGGACAGAAAGGCACAGGGACAGACAGACACACAGGACATGGGGACAGACAGGACACAGACACACAGGACACTGGGACAGGCAGGCATGGGGACACACAGGGCACAGGGACACAGGACATGGACACACACAAAAGGACATGGGGGACGTACAGAGGATGCATGGGGACAGACAGACACAGGGACATGAGGACAGACAGGCATGGGGACACAGAGGATTTAGGACACATGGGGACACACACAGGACATGGGGACACACAGAACTGTTCTTGTGCTCCTGCCTGCCGTGAGTGACCGAGGGTGACGCTGGCATCACCTGCCTGTCCTGGCAGCTTTCACCTGGGAGCAGCCCTTAAATGCATGGAATTTTGGAGCTGGAATCCAGATTTGGGCCGGGTTTAGGGTTTGGGCCGGGTTTAGGGTTTGGGCCAGGCTTAGGGTGATTTGTTCTGGAAGAAACCCGTGGCACCACACTCAAGGTTATTTGCCAAAATTCACACAACGGCACGCATAGAAACATAACTTGTACCTGTAGATTAAACAGCTGAAAGCTTGAAAAACGTACTAAAATATTATTTAATATTATCTATAAAAGAAATAAAAATAGTGCTGGGATTTGGGGCAATTCCCAGGTAGGAATTTTGATGGGTTTGGGGTGATTTGGGGGATTTGGAGAGATTTTTTGAGGGGGTTGGGGAAATGTAGAGAGGGGAAATTTTGGGGGGGATTTTTATGGGATTTTGGGGGGATTTTTGGGCCTCACCCCGTCCTTTCCAGGACCCCCTCCCTCAATCCCCCATCACCCCGCGGGGCTGTTGGGGACGTTGGGGACAGCGCCGCTCGCGCCGGGGGCAGTTGGGGACAATCTCGCGACAGCCGCCGCCTCTCCCCTCGGCCGGGCCTGGCGACAATCGCGACATCCGCATCCGCCAATGGCGACACGCGACAGCCGCCCCTGCCCGGGATCCGCCTCCCTCCATGCCGGGGACACCCCGGGCTCCCGGGTCCCCCAAAACCCTCCCGGGGCCACCTCGGTCCCCCCGGACCCTCCCGGTCCCTCCCGGCCCCCCCAGGCTCGGCGGAGGCTCCGCAGCAGCTCCGGGGCTCGGAGCCCGCCCGGGGAGCGCCGGGTGCGGGGTTGGGCACCGAGGGGGCACCGGGAGGGGAACCGGGCAGGGCTGGGGAGGGGGGATTTGGGAGCGGGTGCGGGGTTTGGGCACCCGGGGGTGTTTTTGGGGGTGCTGGGGAAATTTAGAGGGGTTTTGGGGTGATTTTAGGGGATTTTTGGGTTGATTCAGGGGGATTTGGGGCAGATTTAGGGTAGATTTGGGGGGGATTTAGGGGTGATTTTGGGGGGATTTGGAGTTGATTTGGGGTGGATTTTTACGGGATTTATGGGGCGGATTTTTAGGGGGACATTGAGGGAATTTTGGGGCGGATTTTGCGGGGATTTTGGGGCGGATTTTGCGGGGATTTTGGGGCGGATTTTGCGGGGATTTTGCGGGGATTTTGTGGGGATTTTGGGGTCTCACCCCGTCCTTTCCCGCAGCCCGAGGGCCGCTCCAGCCCCATTGTGCTGCTCCACGATGTCACCAATGTCACCGCCGCCCCCGGAGCGCTGCCCTCGCTCCGGGACAAACCCAAAACCATCCGGGTCATCACCAGAGACCTGATCCGGGAGCTCATGTGAGGCTCCCCAAATCTCCTAATTTTTTCTATAAAATCCGGGATTATTTCCCCCAAAATTCGGGATTTTTTTGCCGATAATTCAGGATTAAGGAAAAAAAAAAACACAAAAACAAACTGGATGATTTTTTAGCCAAAAATCTGGTGGCTTTTCCCACCAAAGCTGGGATATTTCCCCCAACATTCAGGATTTATTACCCCTAAAATTCACGATTATTCCCCCCCAAATCTGGCGGTTTTCCCCTAATGCTTGAAAAATTTTTCCCCCACAATTTAAGGATTTTTTTCCCTAAAATCCATGATTTTTCCCCCGGAATCTGGGATATTTTTCCCCTGTCACTGATCTTGGCCCATGTCCCCCAGCATTCCCAGGGATCGGCCCCCGGCCTCGCTCATCATCGGCTCCCAGGAATTCCAGCGGATCCAGGAGGAGGCTCAGCCTCCACGGCAGCTCGGGGAGCGGCTGCGGATCCTCAAATCCCGCCAGGACGCGGCTTTTGTGGGCATCTCCTGCTTCCCTGAGCCCCAATTCCCCTCATCCCCAATTTCCTGATCCCCCTTTTCCCAATTCCGATTTTCCCGATATTTCTATTCCTGGTACCGAATTTCCTGAACCAAATTTTCCCCATCCCGAATTTCCCAATCCCAAATTTTCTGATCCTTCTTCTCCTCATCCCGATTTTCCTGACCCTGTTTTCCCTGATCCCACTTTTCTGACCCAAATTATCCCAATCCCACTTTTCCTGATTTTCTGGATCCCATTGTTCCTCACCCTGTTTTCCCTGATCCCGCTTTTCTGACCCAAATTATCCCGATCCCGCTTTTCCCAATCCCACTTTTCCTGATTTTCTGCATCCCGTCGTTCCTGATCCTGATTTTCCTGACCCTCTTTTCCCTGATCCCGCTTTTCTGACCCAAATTATCCCAATCCCAATTTTCCCAATCCCACTTTTCCTGATTTTCTGGATCCTGTTGCTCCCCATCCCAATTTTACTGACCCAGGGAATGCCCCAGGATGTCCCCGGGAAGGGCCCCCAGGAATGCCCCAGGCTGTCCCTGCGATGTCCCCAGGCTGTCCCCAAGATGTCCCCAAGCTGTTCCCCGGGAATGTCCCCCAGAGATACCCCAAGATGTCCCCAAGATGTCCCCGAGATGTCCCCAAGATGTTCCCGAGATGTCCCCACGATGTCCCCACGATGTCCCCACAGGAGCAGCTGCGGCGAGCGCGGAGCGCGGAGCTGGGCAGGGACGAGCAGCAGGACAGGGACAAGGACAGGGACAAGGACAAGGACAGGGACAAGGACAAGGACAAAGAGGAAGAGGGGGAGAGGGCAAGGAAGGTGAGGTGGAGGAATTTTGGAGGAATTTTGGAGGAAATTTGGAGGAATTTTGGGGGAGTTTTGGGGGAGTTTTGAGGGAACTTTGGGGCTTTTGGGGGTCTCTCGCCCCAAAATCTCACCCCAAAATTTGATGGATTTTGTGGGGGATTTTGAAGAGATTTGGGGGATTCTGAGGGATTTGGGGGGGTTTTGGGGTTATTTTGTGGGGGCTTTTGAGGGGATTTTGTGATTATTTTTATGGGATTTTGGGGGGATTTTGTGAGGGATTTTGAGGGGATTTTGTGATTATTTTTATGGGATTTTGGGATGATCTTGTGGGGATTTGGAGGGTAGATTTGTGGCACAATTTTGGGGTCTCACCCCTTTTTTTCCCCCAGATTTCGGGCCCCTCCAGCCCCATTGTGCAGCTCCGGGATGTGAGGAGCGCCCCGGGCCCGGTGCCTCAGGACAAACCCAAAACCATCCGGGTCTTCACCAAGGACGTGGTCCGGGAGCTCGTGTGAGGCTCAGGGGGATTTGGGGACCCCCAGAGGGGATTTGGGGACCCCCAGGGACTCAGAAGGGATTTGGGGACTCGCAGGAATTGGGGACCCAGAAGGGATTTGGGGACCCTGAGGGATTTTTAGGACTCCAAGGAATCTGGGGACTCAGTGGGGTAACTGGCGACTCAGAAGGGATTTGGGGACGCCGGTGGGATTTAGGGACACAGGGGACACCAGAAGCTGTCCCCATGTCCCTGATCTTGGCCCGTGTCCCCCAGCATTCCCAGGGATCGGCCCCCGGCCTCGCTCATCATCGGCTCCCAGGAATTCCAGCGGATCCAGGAGGAGGCTCAGCCTCCACGGCAGCTCGGGGAGCGGCTGCGGATCCTCAAATCCCGCCAGGACGCGGCTTTTGTGGGCATCTCCTGCTTCCCTGAGCCCCAATTCCCCAATCCTGAATTTCCTGAGCCTGATTTTCCCGGTCCTGCTTTTCCCGAGCCCAGTTTGCCCCATCCTGATTTGCCCCATCCCGAATTTCCCGATCCCCCTTTTTCCAATCCCGCTTTTCCCACTCCCCTCGTGCCAGGGACCCAGGAGTATCCTAGAACTGTCCCCCAGGAATGCCTTGGGAATGTCCCCCAGGATCCTGGCAATGTCCCCAGGAGTCTCCCTGTCCTGCAGTGTCCCCAGCAGTGTCCCTGTCCCACAGGCCATGTCCCCAGCAGTGTCCCTGTCCCCAGCCGTGTCCCTGTCCCCAGCAGTGTCCCTGTCCCCAGCAGTGTCCCTGTCCCGCAGGAGGCCCAGCCGTGTCCCTGTCCCCAGCAGTGTCCCTGTCCCCAGCAGTGTCCCTGTCCCCAGCCGTGTCCCCAGCCGTGTCCCTGTCCCCAGCAGTGTCCCTGTCCCGCAGGAGGCCTGGTAGTGTCCCTGTCCCCAGCCGTGTCCCTGTCCCCAGCAGTGTCCCTGTCCCCAGCCGTGTCCCTGTCCCCAGCAGTGTCCCTGTCCCTCAGTGTCCCCAGCAGTGTCCCTGTCCCGCAGGAGGCCTGGCAGTGTCCCTGTCCCCAGCAGTGTCCCTGTCCCCAGCCGTGTCCCCAGCAGTGTCCCTGTCCCCAGCAGTGTCCCTGTCCCGCAGGAGGCCCAGCCGTGTCCCTGTCCCCAGCAGTGTCCCTGTCCCTCAGTGTCCCCAGCCGTGTCCCCAGCAGTGTCCCTGTCCCTCAGTGTCCCCAGCCGTGTCCCTGTCCCGCAGGAGGCGCGCAGCCGGGCCCTCAGCGCAGAGCGGCGGCAGGAGGAGCTGCGGGAGGCGCGGGCGCACTCGGAGCTGGAGCTGCAGCGGGAGCAGGAGCGGCGGCAGCTGCTGGAGCGCGCGGCCGGGCTGAGGCTGGAGCAGGAGGACGAGATGAGGCGGCTGAACTCGGTACTGCCAGAACCTTCCCTTTCCCTACTCCCCATTCCCATTTCCCTTTCCCTTTCCCATTCCCATTCCCTTTCCCATTTCCCTTTCCCTTTCCCTATTCCCCATTCCCATTTCCCATTTCCCTTTCCCTTTCCCATTCCCATTCCCTTTCCCATTTCCCTTTCCCTATTCCCCATTCCCATTTCCCATTTCCCTTTCCCATTTCCCTTTCCCTATTTCCCATTTCCCATTCCCATTCCTTTTCCCATTTCCCTTTCCTATTCCCATTTCCCATTTCCATTTCCCATTTCCCATCTCCCATTCCCATTCCCTTTCCCATTTCCCTTTCCCTATTTCCCTTTCCCATTTCCATTTCCCATCTCCCATTTCCCATTTCCATTCCCATTCCCATTCCCATTCCCATTCCCATGTCCCCAGCTCCTGCTGAGCGCCCGCTGCAGCTCCATCCTGGACAGGCAGGAGAAGGGGCTGCTCCAGGGCTCCCATTTCCCATTCCCATCTCCCATTTCCCATTTCCCATTTCCCATCTCCCATTTCCCATTCCCATTTCCATTCCCATTTCCATTTCCCATTCCCCTTCCCATTCCCATTCCCTTTCCCATCTCCCATTTCCCATTTCCTTTCCCATTTCCCATTCCCTTTCCCATTTCCCATCTCCCCTTTCCCATTTCCCTTCCCCATCTCCCATTCCCATTCCCATTTCCCATTCCCTTTCCCATTCCCATTTCCATTTCCCATCTCCCATTCCCATTCCCGTGTCCCCAGCTCCTGCTGACTGCCTGCTGCAGCTCCATCCTGTACCAGCAGGAGAAGCTCCAGGGCTCCCATTTCCATTCCCTTTCCCATCTCCCATCTCCCATCTCCCATTCCCATTCCCATGTCCCGTGTCCCCAGCTCCTGCTGAGCGCCTGCTGCAGCTCCATCCTAGACAGGCAGGAGAAGGGGCTGCTCCAGGGCTCCCATTCCCATTTCCCATTCCCATTCCCATCTCCCATCTCCCATTCCCATTCCCATTCCCATGTCCCCCAGCTCCTGCTGAGTGCCCGCTGCAGCTCCATCCTGGACAGGCAGGACAAGGGGCTGCTCCAGGGCTCCCATTCCCATTCCCATCTCCCATCTCCCATTTCCCATTTCCATTCCCATTTCCCATTCCCATTTCCATTCCCATTTCCATTTCCCATTCCCATTCCCATTCCCTTTCCCATCTCCCATTTCCCATTTCCCATTCCATTTCCCATTCCCTTTCCCATTTCCCATCTCCCCTTTCCCATTTCCCTTCCCCATCTCCCATTCCCATTCCCATTTCCCATTCCCTTTCCCATTCCCATTTCCATTCCCATCTCCCATTCCCATTCCCGTGTCCCGTGTCCCCAGCTCCTGCTGAGTGCCCGCTGCAGCTCCATCCTGGACAGGCAGGACAAGGGGCTGCTCCAGGGCTCCCATTCCCATTTCCCATCTCCCATTCCCATTTCCCATCTCCCATCTCCCATTCCCATTCCCATTCCCATTTCCCATCTCCCATTCCCATTCCCATTTCCCATTCCCATTCCCATTCCCATTCCCATCTCCCATTCCCATTCCCGTGTCCCCAGCTCCTGCTGAGTGCCCGCTGCAGCTCCATCCTGTACCAGCAGGAGAAGCTCTAGGGCTCCCATTTCCCATCTCCCATTCCCATTTCCCATCTCCCATTCCCATTCCCGTGTCCCCAGCTCCTGCTGAGTGCCCGCTGCAGCTCCATCCTGGACAGGAAGGAGAAGCTCCAGGGCTCCCATTTCCCATCTCCCATTCCCATTCCCGTGTCCCCAGCTCCTGCTGAGTGCCCGCTGCAGCTCCATCCTGGACAGGCAGCTGGCGGAGCGGCGGCAGGTGCAGGGGGAGCTGCAGGCAGAGGAGCAGCGCCTGGCGCGGCTCCTGGACAGCGAGCGGGAGAAGGAGCTGCAGCTGGAGGAGGAGCTGGAGCGCCGCAGGAAGCAGGAGCTCATCAGGTCCCTGCTTCCCTTTTCCTCTTCCCTTTTCCTTTTCCTCTTCCCTTTTCCTTTTCCTCCACCCTTTTCTCTTATTTTCCCTCTCCTCTTTTTTCCTTATCCCTTTCCTCTTCTCTCTTCTCCCTTCCTCCATTCTTTTTTCCTCTTCCCTTTTCCCTTTCTCCTTTTCCTTTTCCCCATTTCTTCCCTTTCCCTTCTTTTCTGTTTCCCCCTTTCTCTTTCCCCTTTCCCTTTTTTCTCCTTTTCCCCTTTTCTTTTTCCCTTTTCTGTTTCCCTTTCTCCCTCTTTCCCCTTTCCCATTTTCTTCCCTTTCCCTTCTTTTCTGTTTCTCTTTTTCTTTTTCCCCTTTCCCTCTTTTCCCTTCTTCCTTTTCTCTTTTTCCCTCTTTCCCCTTCCCCTTTTCCCTTCTTTTTCCATTATTTTCCTTCTTTTCCCTTTTTTTGCCCTTTCCCTTTCTCCCTCTTTCCCCTTTCCCTTTTTTCCTCCTTTTCCCCTTTTCCCCCATCTCTGTTTCCCTTTCTCCCTCTTTCCTCTTTCCCTTCCTTTTTCCCTTTCCTCCTTCCCCTCTCCCCACCCCGTACATTCCACAGTTCTGGAACCAGACTGGAACTTTTCCATTCCCAAATTCCCAAATTCCTGAATTCCCAAATAATTCCCGAATGCTTCCTGAATTCCCAGCAACAAGCTGGAGCTGCTCCAGCAGATGGAGCAGCGCCAGGAGCAGCGGGCGCTGAGGGCTGAGCAGAAATTCCAGGAGGGCCAGAGGTTCCTGGAGCGCATGGAGCAGATGAAGAGGGAGGATCTCGAGGTTGGAGATTCCCAGCGGGAATTTGGGAATTCGGGTGGGAAGGGTTGGGGACAGCACGGGGCGGGATTGGGGCTCTGGTGGCCTTGGGGATGTGGTGGCATCAGTGGAAGGGGACACGGAGCTGGTGGGGATCCCAGGGACTGGGGATTCCAGGGATTTGGGATCCCAGGGATTGGGGATTCCAGGGATTTGGGATCCCAGGGATTGGGGATTTCAGGGAATGGGGATCCTAGGGAATGGGGTTCCTAATGAGGGGGATCTCAGGGGTTTGGGATCCCAGTGAATGGGGATTTCAGGGAATGGGGATCCTGACAAGGGGGATCCCATAGAATTTGGGTCTATAGCAAGGAAATCTCAGAGAATGGGGATTCCAGGGATTTGAGATCCCAGGGAATGGGGATCCATAGGAAGGGGATCCCAGGAGTTTGGGATCTATAGCAGGGCAATCCCAGGGAATGGGGGATCTGGGGAAGTTGAGGATCCCAGAGTTTTGGGGATCCCAGAGAACGCGGGTCCCACGGAACGGGGATCCCCATGGGCAGGCGGGGTTTGCGGGGCTCTGCGGTGACGGGACCGGTGTCCCCACCCACGGTGTCCCCACGGTGTCCCCACCCACGGTGTCCCCACGGTGTCCCCGCGGTGTGGCCAGGCCTGGCAGCAGCGGCAGCAGCGCAAGCAGCAGCTCCTGGCCGAGATGCAGGCGGTGGACGCGGAGAACCAGCGGCTGCGGGAGCGCGAGCGGGAGCGCGAGCGGCGCGCGGAGCTGCGGGCCCGGGAGGAGCAGCGCCAGAAGGGGGTGAGGGCGGGGCTGGCAGGGCACTGTCACCTGCCCAGGGTGCTGTCACCTCCTCAGGGGCACTGTCACCTGCCCCGGGGCACTGTCACCTCCTCAGGGGCACTGTCACCTCCCCAGGGTTTTGCCAACTCCCCAGGGCTCTGTGCCCCACTGTGTCGCTGTCCCCAGCTGTGTCCCTATCCCGCTGTCTGTCCCTGTCCTGGTGTCCCTGTCCCGGTGTCCCTGTCCCCAGTGGTGTCCCTGTCCCAGTGTCCCTGTCCCCAGTGGTGTTGCTGTCCCTGTGTCCCTGTCCCCAGCAGTGTCCCTGTCCCAGTGTCGCTGTCCCAGTGTCGCTGTCCCGGTGTCCGGGTCCCCAGCCGTGTCCCTGTCCTGGTGTCCCTGTCCCCAGAGTTGTCCCTGTCCCCAGCTGTGTCCCTGTCACCAGCCGTGTCACTGTCCCGAGTCAGTGTTGCTGTCCCAGTGTCCCTGTCCCCAGTGGTGTCCTTATCCCAGTGTCCCTGTCCCCAGCAGTGTCCCTGTCCCCAGCAGTGTCCCTGTCGCAGTGTCGCTGTCCCGGTGTCCCTGTCCCCGTGTCTCTGTCCCCAGCGGTGTCCCTGTCCCCAGCGGTGTCCCTGTCCCTCAGTGTCCCCAGCAGTGTCCCTGTCCCCAGCAGTGTCCCTGTCCCCGTGTCCCTGTCCCGGTCCCCGTGTCCCTGTCCCCAGCGCTGTCCCTGTCCCCAGCGCTGTCCCTGTCCCCAGGAGCGGGAGGCGGCGCTGCAGGCGGAGCGGGCGCGGCTGTGGCAGGAGCGGCAGCGGGAGCTGGACCGGGTCAAGGCCATGCAGGAGCGCGAGCGGGACTGGCAGGAGGCGCAGGTGGGTGGCACTGCCAGCCCTGTCCCCTGCCCGGGGCTCTGTCACCTCCCCAGGTGCTGTCACTGCTGCCCCTGGCACTGCCAGGACCTGTCCCTACTGTCCCCAATGTCCCCAATGTCCCCAGTGTCCCTGCAGGACGCTCTGCACTCCAAGCGCAACGAGGAGGTGGCGAAGCGGGAGTGGCAGCGCTGGGAGCTGTCTCTGTCACTGTCCCTTTCCCTGTCCCCAATGTCCCCTGTCGTTGTCCCTGTCCCCAGTGTCCCCACTGTCCCCAGTGTCCCCGCAGGATGCTCTGCACTCCAAGCGCAGCCAGGAGGCAGCGGAGAGGGACTGGAAGCACTGGAGCTGTCCCTGTCCCCAATGTCCCCAGTGTCCCCGATGTCCCCACAGGACGCTCTGCATGCCAGGCGCAGCGAGGAGGCGGCGGAGCGGGAATGGCAGCACTGGGAGCTGTCCCTGTCACTGTCCCTTTCCCTGTCCCCAGTGTCCCCAGTATCCCCGATGTCCCCTGTGGCTGTCACTGTCCCCAATGTCCCCAATGTCCCCTGTTGCTGTCACTGTCCCCGCTGTCCCCGCAGGACGCTCTGCGCACCAGGCGCAGCGAGGAGGCGGCGGAGCGCGAGTGGCGGCGCCGGGAGCTGCAGCGGGAGCGGCGCCGGGCGGAGCTGCTGCAGGAGCTGCAGCGGGGCCGCCTCGAGCAGGCGACAAAACAGCGACAGCGGCGGGCGCTGGCACTGCAGGAGGAGCAACGCGACTTCCTCACCCTGCTCAGGTGGGTGGCACCGGGGGTGGCACCGGGGGTGGCACGGGGACAGCTGGGGGTTGGGGACTCCGGTGTCACCCCAGGTGTTGTGTCAGGTGTGACCAGGTGGCTCTGGCAGGGTCCCTGTGCCATCCTGGTGGCGCTGGGGACACCGGTGTCACCCCAGGTGTGACCAGGTGGCTCTGGCAGGGTCCCTGTGCCATCCTGGTGGCGCTGGGGACACCGGTGTCACCCCAGGCGCTGTGCCAGGTGTGTCCAGGGGACAGTGTCGATGTCCTGGAGCCACCCCAGCTGTGCCCAGGGCACTGTGGTGGTGTCCCCGTGTCACCCAGGGGCCGTGCCAGTGTCACAGTGCCAGGGTCCCAGTGTGCCAGTGATGTCCCCGTGTCCCCAGTGCCCAGCAGGAGCAGCTGTGCCAGTGTCAGTGTCCCTGTGCCAGTGTCCCAGTGCCACAATGTCACAGTATCAATGTCCCAGTGTCACAGGTGCCAGTGTCCCAGTGATGTCCCCATGCCAGTGTCACAGTCCCAGTGTCCCAGTGCCAATGTCCCCGTGTCCTCAGTGTCAGAGTGTCACAGCTGTGCCAGTGTCACAGTTCCAGTGCCAATGTCCCCATGTCCCCAGTGTCCCAGCTATGCCAGTATCACCATGCCAATGTCCCTATGTCCCCGTGTCCCCAGTGCCCAGCAGGAGCAGCTGGCCCGGGAGCAGCAGCAGCAGCTGGCACGGCAGCGGGCACATTCCCAGTGTCACAATGCCAATGTCCCCAATGTCCCCGTGTCCCCAGTGTCACAGTTGTGTCCCCATGTCCCCAGCGCCCAGCAGCAGCAGCTGGCCCTGGAGCAGCACCAGCAGCTGGCACGGCAGCGGGCACAGTCCCAATGTCACTGTCCCAGTGTCACTGTCCCAGTGTCACAGTGTCACAGTGATGTCCCCGTGTCCCCAGTGCCCAGCAGAAGCAGCTGGCCTGGGACCAGCAGCTGGCACGGCAGCGGGCACAGTCCCCGTGTCACAGTCCCAGTGTCACTGTCCCCAATGTCCCCAATGTCCCCGTGTCCCCAGTGCCCAGCAGGAGCAGCTGGCCCGCGAGCAGCAGCAGCAGCTGGCACGGCAGTGGGCACAGTCCCAGTGTCCCCAGTGTCACAGTCCCAGTGTCACAGTGCCAATGTCCCCAATGTCCCCGTGTCCCCAGTGCCCAGCAGGAGCAGCTGGCCCGGGAGCAGCAGCAGCAGCTGGCACGGCAGCAGGCACAGTCCCAGTGTCACAGTGTCACAGTGATGTCCCCGTGTCCCCAGTGCCCAGCAGGAGCAGCTGGCCCGCGAGCAGCACCAGCAGCTGGCACAGCAGCGGGCACAGTCCCAGTGTCACTGTCCCCAATGTCCCCAATGTCCCCGTGTCCCCAGTGCCCAGCAGGAGCAGCTGGCCCGGGAGCAGCAGCAGCAGCTGGCACGGCAGCGGGCACAGTCCCAGTGTCACAGTGCCAATGTCCCCATGTCCCCCAGTGTCCCAGTCCCAGTGTCACTGTGCCAATGTCCCCATGTCCCCAGCGCCCAGCAGGAGCAGCTGGCCCGCGAGCAGCAAGCAGCAGCTGGCACGGCAGCGGGCACAGTCCCCATGTCACTGTCCCCAATGTCCCCGTGTCCCCAGTGTCACAGTGTCACAGTTGTGTCCCCGTGTCCCCCAGTGCCCAGCAGGAGCAGCTGGCCCGCGAGCAGCACCAGCAGCTGGCACGGCAGCGGGCACAGTCCCAGTGTCCCCAGTGTCCCAGTCCCAGTGTCACTGTGCCAATGTCCCCGTGTCCCCAGTGCCCAGCAGGAGCAGCTGGCCCGGGAGCAGCAGCAGCAGCTGGCACGGCAGCGGGCACAGTCCCAGTGTCACAGTGCCAATGTCCCCATGTCCCCAGTGTCACAGTCCCAGTGTCACTGTCCCCAATGTCCCCAATGTCCCCATGTCCCCAGTGCCCAGCAGGAGCAGCTGGCCCGTGAGCAGCAGCAGCAGCTGGCACGGCAGCGGGCACAGTCCCAGTGTCACAGTGTCACAGTTGTGTCCCCATGTCCCCAGTGCCCAGCAGGAGCAGCTGGCCCGGGAGCAGCAGCAGCAGCTGGCACGGCAGCGGGCACAGTCCCAGTGTCACAGTGTCACAGTTGTGTCCCCGTGTCCCCAGTGCCCAGCAGGAGCAGCTGGCCCGCGAGCAGCAGCAGCAGCTGGCACGGCAGCGGGCACAGTCCCCGTGTCACAGTGTCACTGTCCCCAATGTCCCCATGTCCCCAGTGCCCAGCAGGAGCAGCTGGCCCGCGAGCAGCAGCAGCAGCTGGCACGGCAGCGGGCCCAGCGCGCCCACGTGGAGGCGCTGCAGGAGCAGATCCGGGAGCGGCGACAGCGACAGCAGCGCGACAGAGCCGCGGCCATCGAGGAGGGACAGCGGGAGCTGGCGCGGGCCCGGGAGCGGGCAGAGCGCCTGGAACGCGCGGGGCAGCAGAAACTGCAGCGCCTCAGGTGCGGGGGCGCCGCCACCTCCGGTGCCACCTCCGGTGTCACCTCCGGCACCTCCTGTGTCACCTCTGGCACCTCCTGGCACTTCCCGTGTCACCTTTTGTGTCCCCACCTGTGTCACTTCCTGGGACCCTCTTCTGTCACCTCCTGGCCCATCCTGGCAT